GGGGCACATAAAATTTCACCAACAAATGCTGCCAATTTGGACAGGTCCAGCCAGGAAGGCTGGAGGAGAGGACTGGAGTAAGAGCAGAGCAAGAGTTCTCCTCCCTCTACCCCAGTACCAGCTACTGCTGCTCTTTTGCATCAGAAAGGGTTGTTCAGTCCCTGTTGGTCAGCAAGGTACCAGAATTTTACTGTTAACTGTCCAGGAGCAGGGCTTTGCTCACACGATAACTGGTGCAAACAAATCTCCCTTTTTTAGAAAATGTCCAAATCTGATCTTCCTGCCTTGCTTTGTTGGATAGATGCTCATTGACTAGGAATTTTTGCCTGAAAACAGCAAAGTAGAGATGGGGCAGTAGCAGGGTTAGGGAAACTTTGCTGGGGAAAAAGATGGTCTTTTTTTCCCTTCCAGCCTATCTTTTGCCCCAGTACAGCACTGAGTGGGCAGTGTGTGTTGGGCTGGGTGCAGGGAGACAAGCAGGACCACACAGCCTCACCTGGAGCAGCTTTGCGCGTGTTATCTTGCAGCTCTGGTCACAGAACCCCAAAGCAGTAAGTTTGGTGGCAGGAGAGTGAGCTGTGCTGGTTAGATGGGGATATGCGGCGGCTGTGGCCAGAGAGATCCAGCCCAGCACCGGGGAAGGAAGTCAGCGAGAAGGACAGAGTGTGAACAAAATCCCTCTCCGGAAAGGCGCCCTGTTAATCAGTCAGCGGGGCCGACTCAGCAGAGAGGGAGGGAAGGGGAAGCAGAGAGGGGCTGAGGTGGTGTGGGGGGGCTCAGAGGGAGGATCCGGTGCAGGGCTTCCTGTGAGTGGAAGCAGACGGAGAGCAGGAGCTGTGTTGTGCCACACTGTACCATGCTATACCTGCACCTTCTCTCACACCCAGCCTTTGACCTGTTCCCAAAGCCATCGCTCACCGCAGCGGTGCCGGCTCTGGCTCAGATGTTTTTCTGCAGGGATTCAGTGTCTGCAGCTGTCGCAAGGGAAAACCAAGTCCCATGCAAGGCTTTCCCACAACATGCCCAGGGGTGGAGAGATGAGGTCTGGAGCCTGCAAGATGCCCTGGGGTGGGTGGGTAGCACTTTTGAGGGTGAGCGTGGCTTCCCCACTGGGCAGGGAGAGCCCTGGATGCAGGATGCAGTGGGCAGCCCTGCCGCCATGCTGAGAGCAGCAGTGTTGGAAGTGCAGACAGAGCCAGAGGGGCCTGAAAATGATGGAGCTGCCAGCGATAAGGAGAAGGCCCTCAGTGCAGCCTGGCCCCTTTTAGAGCCGTGTGCTGCAAGATCAAGGCTACAAAAACCGCTGGGAAATGTGCTTCTCTGGAAAAAGACAAGGTGTGAGTGGCTGTGGGATCCTGCTTCCTCTCCCCGCATCCCATCAATCCCCCCTCTGTTTATTTTAATATCCTGCTGCCAGCTTGCTTGGAAACCATCTTGAAAAAACAAAGCTTGCCGGGGCTGCCGCATGCCTTTTTAATTACATTAATGCTCTCCCCGTGCAAGGGCGCAGTTGGGTGTGCGGGAGAGAGCGGGATCTGCTCTGAGGGCCGAGGAGATAAAACATGGCTGAGGTTGGAGGTGGGGAAGGAGGGACTGAGAGAAGAGGAGACACTCCATGCTCTGGAGACATCTCCCTCACACCCTGGGATTTGCCAGAGACACAAACCATCTGTGTGTCGGTTAGCAGAGATTTAATGGCCAAACCCAGCACCAAGTTCAGCGCAGGAGAGAGTCATGGCAGGGCACGTGCTCCCCCAGGGAGGGAAAGGGCAAGGGCAGCAATGGGGTGGATCCATCTGTAAAGCACAAAGAGTGATAGAGAATATGGTGGGAGAAAAGCTGATGGCTTTGAAGATGCTTTTGCAGGCTGGGAATAGCTCCGTGTATCCTTTTGCCTGTCCTGAATGGCACGGGTGACTCTGGGTATTGGCATACCAAGATGCCAGCCTTAGTGTGAGGCATTGGGGTGAGTAGTGGATCCCCAGCATGAGCCAGTGCCTGATGTAGGGTGTCCCCAAAGTTTTCCCGGCAATCCGGGGGCGGTGAGGAGGCTGGACGGCCGTGAGTGCTGGCCCAGCACTGGCTGCCAGCAGCGGGAGCGTCCCCAGCCCCGCGCCGCGGTGCTTTCGGAGCAAGCAGTGGTTCCTTTTCCTGTTGTACTCACGGAGGGCCGTGGACAGGATGCATCTGCAGGAATCCCACAGCCTCAACCTGCACAGATCGTACTTTTCCTTTCTTCCCCTCCACCCCCCGGCGTTGTTTGCTAACAGGTCACCAGGCGGCACATGAAGGGAGGCAGGGGGTTATTCCTGCCGCCGTCCTGCTCCCCCCAAGGCCCAGCAGCGGGGCACAGCATCGGCCGAGAGGCTCCTGCGACCTTGGACCACTTAGTGGTTCAAGCAAGGGGACCACTCCAGTTTTGAGACTTAATTTGGCACCTGTCACAGCCATCCCTGGAGGTGGCCATGCCAGGGGTTTGGGGATTACCTTTCTGCTCTCTGCTCCAGAGCACGGGCATGAGGATGAGAGCGTCTGCTGTCCCCAGCCGGCTCCATGCAAGCCATTATCTTCTGCATTTTGGGTTGAGCACCGTGGGGGTGCCAGGCACCCCTGGATGCTCCCTGGGGCAATGGGCTGGGAGGCTGTGGCCATCTGGATAGTGGTGTTTGCATTGGGATAACCGTGTCCGGCATTAATAGGAAATGCAGCTTAGTGGACAGATTCCCTTCCCCACCCCCTTTTTTTAATAAACCTTGTTACATTTTGAAGGGATTTTACAAAAAATGTGGTCCTTTATTTTCACAGCCCGGGGGCACATTTTTGTGTGTGATGTCTGACGTCCCCTCTGCAGGGAAAGGGGGAGGTTGGAGGCGCGAGGTGGGGTGTCCTCCGTGGGCACTGAGAAGCACAGGGTCCCAAAGACCACGGTGATGCCAACCCGATCCATGTGTTGAGAGACAAATGATGGCTGTTGTTGTTGTTGTTGAGAGAGACATGTCTGTAGGACAGGCCATGGGCAGCAGGACACACACACGGGCAGAGGTGGGCCAGGGCAGCCCCTGGGCTGACTCCACCTCATGTGGGCAAGGGAAGAGGAGGCAGGAATGATGGGGGGAGATGGCCAGCACCCCGCCGTTGCCATGGGGGCAGCCACGGGGACACCACCTCAGAGCCGCGCGCAGGCGGGAAGGAAGTGGAGAACAATCAGAGAGAACAAGGCCGGCAGCCCTGGCCTGGCAGTGCCGGTGGTGCGGCTCAGCACGTCCCTCCACTGCCATGTCCCCCTCAGCAGCCTCTCCTTGGTGGTGGTGGGCCCTGGGCAACCCGGCTTCTCCACCAGCCTGGCTCCTCATGACTCCACAGACGCCTGTGTCAGAGAGGCTGGTGGCCATTTGATGTCTCCTGGGGCAAGTTTCCCCATAGAGAAGCATTCCTAGAATCACTGAATCATTAAGATTGGAAAAGACTTCTATGACCATCAAGTCCAGCTGTTAACCCAGCACCACCGTGTTCACCACTAGACCGTGTCCCCAAGTGCCACATCCACATGTCTTTTGAACACTTCCAGGCATGGTGACTCCACCACTTCCATGGGCAGTCTGTTCCAATGCCTGAGCACCCTTTCAGTGTAGAAACTTTTCCTAATATCCAGTCTAAACCTCCCCTGGCACACCTTGAGGCCATTTCCTCCTGTCCTAAGGCACATGTGGCTCTACCACAGCACTTCTGAGACCTGAGGTCCTCAGGTCACAGTTTTGGAGGAGGGGTGTCACACAGGGCTCCTTCTATTTGTGAAACCTGTGGAAACTCTATGTCCTTGAGACCTCTCTGTCCTTGCCAGATCTCTCTGATACCTAGGTTTGAATGTTACAAGGGAAGGAAACAGACATGCACAGAACATTGTAGCAAAAAGCCTCACGTTTTTGTAGAAAGTCAAGTTAGCAACATATTTTTGCATTCTTTTCTTCCTTAGCATTTAGCACTCACCTAAGCCACAGCTTCACATTTCTTAACTCTTTTTCCCCCCCTCTATTTCTGGTTAGTTTGCTTGTTTTTGCAGTCAATGAGACTTTTCTTTTGAATTATCTCACATCTCCAGAAGCTGGAGTTTTAAGATAAAGATCATGAAGTAATGACAGTCAGCAACACTGTGTTAATGAAAAACAACAGTAGTCTCTGAAGGTAACCGGTACTTCGAGATGTTTTGTCCATGAGGAGCTCACTTAGGGTGCATGTCTGGCATGCCGGAGATGCAAGCACACAAAAAGTGGGACTCTCCCTGAAAAAAGGTGGAAGAGGAGCATGATAATGTTTAACTGCCTGTCCTTGAGCCTGGATAATTTCACTCCTGGAATGCCTGTCTGGTGGTGCAGGGAAGGGGGCTGCTGCAATCCCCAGAGGTTTGGTCCTGTTCAGGTGACTGTACGTGAGAGTGTGCCAAAGGAGAAGGGCATTCCATGAATGCCTGCTGACTCCAGAGAGCATCTCTGTGCCAAAGCAAGAGTTTTGCATTTCTTGTATCTGGGCATCCCTGATTTGTCCCCCTGATTACAGAAAGCCACATGTGTATAGAAAAATCTCCTGCCAGACTCCCTCCGGTTAGCAGAGGGGATCATTTCAGAGCCTTAGTCCAAGCAAACTCAATCTCATTCACCTGGTGAGGAACGGGCACACTTGGATTCCCCACTTTCTAGTCTTTCATTCTTTTTCTGGCCCTTGTCTGTGCTAGTCTGTCTATCAGAGCCTAGGGGTTGTCTGGCCCTGGCCCTAGAGCTGCTGCTGAAGAGCTGCTCCCTGGAGCCAGGAGGGCTGCAGACAAACCGCTTGTGTCCTGCTGAGCCAACATTCAATTATGTTGTAGGAACAGACCCTGAGGAGATGTTTCCTTCAAAAGGCTTTGCCCCTCTCTGGGCTCGTGATGCCAGGAGAGCTGCTGCCCACAGCAGTGGGTGCAGGCTAGTCAGTATCTGCATCATCCCCTCTCTCTTTTCCCTCCACAGATCTGGTGAGCAGCTATTCTATGACCCCTCCTACTCTCAGCATCACCGAGGAGGAACACGTCATCAACGCCAAGGACACACTGACCATCACCTGCAGGTAAGGCACGAGCGAGCCTGGCTCTGTCTAGACTGCTTTTACCTGGTGAGTGTTGGAGGACTAGGCAAGGAGAGCCCTCCAGGGACACCTAGGCTGCAGTACACCTGCAGATTAGCATGTCTGCCTAGAAATCTTCCACATTCACCAAGGGTGAACTCATCTAATTAATTCATTGAAAAAGAAGCAGAAGACGTCTCCAAGGAGGCAGTGATAACCTCTGCTGTAGTCCTGCAGGCAGAAGGAAGATAGAGAAACATTTGCATGATCTGATAGCTTTGTTGTAAGCTCTTCAGGGAAACTGGCCTCCCGGATTCTCCTTGTCTTTCTCTGACATTGATTATTCTCATCTCCTCAGGGCTGCTAGGATTGGAGTTCTGGTTTCTAAATCTAGTGGTACGTTTGGGGGACATTGAGAAATACCCATGTGAGAAGGCAAGGCTGCACTTAGTGGTGTCTGTAAGAGGCTTCCAGCTTTTCTAGGAAGCTGGGATTTAATGCTTTGCCTTGTACACATTAGGGTGAGGAAAAGCCCTGGCCAGACCAGGTCAAAACCCTGTGAGAGGACCTGGAGAATCTCAGGTGGTTTTGAGACTGACTCTAAGAAAGTGATGTGCCTGAACTGATTTATCCATGCTGGGACACTTGGCTGTACATGTTTTCAGCACTACCCCCTATCTAGGAAAGTTAAAAAAAAAACCAAACAAGTGGGAGAATTGCCCAAGGTCAATTTTCCTGGAGTTTCCCTTCAGCAGCTGAAAGCAGATCCTTGCTTGGGATCTGAGTGCTGGGCCCAATGGGGCTCTAAATTCAGCGTGGGCCTCAAATGGGTGTTCCTCAGTGTTATATATAACCACAGAGCAATTACTGCAAACACTTGGCTGGCATTGTGTTCATGTCTTGTCACAAACATATTTAACTTTTCCTGGAACAGATGGTATTGCTTTTCCTTTGTGAATCAGTTCATAGCCAAGGCAGAGGGACAGAGGAAAGGTTGTTGATGGCAATACTGAACTGATTTCACCCGGTCTGGGAAGATGAGCAGTTGTGGGCTCATTCTCCCAGTGACCTGAGGAACCACGGTGTGTGTTATAGGAAACATGTGAGTTGGAGGACTGCCTGTGACTGTCCATGGAGGACTGTGGTCAGCCTGCTGGGGGGGCACAGAGGAAAAGGAGGGAATTTGGGGACTCCAGTCCTCTGCCATGGTAGTTCTCTCCACAGGTGGATGTGGGAACTGACATTCTCTGTTAAAACCTTGGAACAGGGGAGATTCAGTGCAGTTGTTCTGAATAAGCTTAGAATCAGGGCAGATCCTTTCTCAGCAGTGGCCCAGGGAGGGACATAGAAAGTGGTTTCAAGACTGTGTTGTCTGGAGATTGAGCCAAGGCTAAAGAACATACTGTAGTTAGAGGTGCGGTAAAAGAAAGTGTCTTCTGCAGTCAAGCATGAACACAGCTTCTTAGCACCATGAAGTGGAAAGCCTTTCTTTTTGGGTATCCCTCCTGGACCTGGATTGCCCTTTCCCTGGGCACTTGTTAGGCATTGGTTAATATGAAGGAAAATCACTGAAGTGGAAAAGAGATGCTCTGATTTCCAGTGCAGAGTGTGCATGGCCTGCTCTTGCAGGGAGCATTGTACAAGCTACAGAGTCACTGCAAGTGGCAACAAGCTCCCTGTTTGCTGCTGCAGACCCAAGGCTCAACTTTCAGGCTCACTAGACAGCATCCATACAGTGCAGTGGCATGGACACAGCTGAGACAAGAAGATCCCTACCCCTGGCTCCCAGTGCTGTGCAGGACTGAACTGCCCAGCCCAAGAACAGCAAGGCCATCTGCAAACAGCATTAAAACCCCTGCAACCCTCTGCCCATGTTGCTCCTTGGCTGCCCCCCACCTCTCCATCCTGGTGTCCCAGATGTGCTCCTTCGGGCTGCGCAGTGTCCTTCACACCATCCAGAGGTAGATAAGTCTCTGTGTCTCCTGCATAGCTCAGAAGGTTCCCCTTTTCCCTCTGAGCTCTCCAGTCCTGTGTTTGTCTGTCTTGAGGAGAGGATTTTGATTGTGGGACATTGTTACTTCATTTGAATGAAAAGTAAATCCTTCCTGGTCTCTGGATCTCTAATTACACCCAGCTGCTTCTCCAACCTCTTCTCTGGACCATGGCCCACCCTGGGAAGACCTGGCTTGGGATAATGGGAACTGAAGGGAAAATCATGCAGACCACCAAGAGAACAGGCAAAGGAGAGGGTGGTGGGGCAGGGTAGGGCAGAAAAAATACAGAATCAAATTCAGGATCCAGGGATTTCCTGCTAAGCATCGTGTTGGAGGTGACTTCAGTTTGACCCTGGTCTTCCCTTGAGAGCAATGTCCTCTGGCTGCTCTTCGAGCTGCCCTTGGAGCCAGGAGTACAGGCCTGCTTGAAGCAGTGCTTCAGCAGAAAGATGAGCTCAAAACTCCCCTGTGAGACTCCCTGGAGACCTTTCGAGCTTCACCCACTGAGTGTGAGAGTCCCGCAGCCAACTGTGCTCTCAGGCTCCCTCACAGCAGCCCGGATCTCAGACATCCACAGCTCTGCAGCCCCCCCCAGCTCCACAGCCCTCCAAGCCTCATCAGTGACCAGAGTCCATGCCAGGCCATGGGATGAACAATGCCTCTGGAGCTGGGCAAGCTTAAGAGACCCAAGGGCACAACACATATGCAAGAAGCCACCAGATGCTGGGGCTCTGCTTTTGCAAATGGCATCACATGCAGTCACGTTCCCTTGTCACCCAGCACAATGCACCCTTGAGAGACCCAGACAGAGCAGGGGACCAGTGCAGGAACATTCCCCAAAATACAGATCATACCAGTGCTGGCTGAGAGCCCCAGCAATGTTTTGATCTAAGCATGTGGCAGAGCCAGGGAAGGGGCTGATGCCCACATAGACAGTGCAGCTTTTATTAGCTTCCATCCTGAGAAGGAAGGAAAGAATACCATGAATCTCTGCATTCAAGCCCTCAGCAGCCTGTGCGGGGGGAAAGCAGAGATCTTGTGCTGTTCCAGCTCATGAATATTGGAGCAGAGCCCACAGGAGCCAGCTGTGCAACAGCAGAAACCTCTGGGGGGTTCAACTGGGTCATGACTGTGCCAGCCCATCCAATCCCATCCTGCAGGTGCTGGGCACTCAGGTGGAGAGCAAACCAAGAAAAAGAAGGGCAAGGTTGTCCTTTGCTGCCCAGTGATCTGTTACCAGAGCTGACTCACAGATGCACAAACCCATCTGTGGCAGAGGAAGTATTTGACCCCAGAGCCCTCTTGGCTCCTGTGGAGGAAATGAGCACTGTGGCAGGGCTGAAGGAGCCTCAGGATAAGGCAATGCCCCACAAGCACTGCTCCAGAGCGGTGTCCAGGGACACACAACACCTGCTGCACTTTCCTACACGTGTGTGACTGCTGTGAACATCCTTTGTGGTGCTGAGGGAGGATCTGGCTTATCCCAGCTAAGCCACAAAGCCACAGCCAGCTTTGCCCATCATACCACACATAGGAGCTTCAAAGAGGATTGAAGAAAAGTGGTGCCAATTGCAACATCTTCCTTGAAGAGCATCTGTCCTGAAAAGATTGAGGAAAACAGCTGTGGAGAAGCCTACAGTGCATCTTTTTCCAGCTGGCATCAGCCGGCTCCATCGCCAAGAGGCACATTATCACTGAGCTGAAAGAAAACAACTTGGGAATAAATCCTTGAAGGTGACAGATAGGAGGGAGGGAACCACCCAAAACTGCTGCTTGGACCTTTCCCCAAATGCAGAGAGTAGATACAGAAATAAATCCATGTGAGCCTGACCTATCCTGATTCCTGCCTTCCTCTGGTCCTCTTAACCCACCGGTGATGCTAACTTGGACTCACAGTAGTGCCCACACCTCCGTGTCCCCACTGAACCTGGCTGAGCAGCACACATGCAAGGAATGCCTGGGTTAGAGCCGCCCACGGGCTGGTTGGCACGTCTGTTTGCACAGGCCCATCCATGTTTGTATAAATATGTGTCACTCGGTGACTGCAAGCCTTGATGGCTAATGAAACAAGTAGATCTGATAACGTGTGAAAATCCCAGTGGGTAAACAAACGGAAAGCGGAAACACTGGAGACTTGTACAATTACCCTCCTCCACATGGAGTCCCAAAAATGCCTGAGCAAATGCAAAGGGCTTTGGGGCTCCTTTGCACAGTGGGGGTCTGAAGCTCTTAGCTCTGGGCTGAGAGCAGTCCCATGGCCTGCACTGGTGCAGTGGGACCATGGGCACAGCAGCAATGGCCATGGCAGAGGCCACTGGGTGTTACTGGTTTAGTGATCAGTTTTACTATTATTTTCCCTGAGCATGCATAGGATGGGAAAAACTCAAAATTCAATTTGTATTTTTATTGAAGTGCTCATGAGACTCTGGTACTTTGGAGAAGCCTGCCCGTGCTTCACAGACACACGCTGCTGGAGCTGCACTTACAGTCCTGCCTCAGGCACTGATGGCATTTTTAGTGAATGCACCAGTTTGAGCTGGGTCAGAGGGGCTGTGAGGTTGTCCCCAAGGGCTCGTCGCTGCCTCCAGAGCCCTTGTACCTGGTACCATGAGGAGAGTACAGCACACTGTCTCCGAACTCATCCGCAGCAAGCTGGAAGAGAGCAAAGTCTGCAGGAAGATAATTTAACAGCTGAAGAAAAACACAAAGGGGCAGGTCTTGTCCCCATGCTTGGACAGAAATCCTGTCCTCATTGCATCTGAGCCACTGTGCCCTCCAATGGCACCTTATCTCTCTTCCTCCTCGCCATCCCTTGCTGTCTGGATCCAGCTATCAGTGACGGTCACGGTCTGGCTGTGCTTTAAAAGCATCTGCCCTCAGAGCTGCCCTGGAAGAGCCCTGGCAGAGGAGCTGCGTGTGCCAGCATGTCTATTCCCAACTTGAATAATAGATGAACCCAGTTTCCCCTCATGGAGCCAACAGTGCTGACAAAAGGCCATTTTTACCCCACAGCTGTCCCTTACGATGGCTTCTTTTTCCCAGTTTTTTTTTTTTTTGCATGTACTTAAGTGACTTCCAGCTATACTGGCAAACTTTCAAGTGGGGACTAGGCCTTCCTCTGAAAGGGACTCTGATTCCACAGAAGGAAACTTCCAGCATGGAATAAAAGCTTGTGTTGTTTGTAGTAAACAAGTGCAGTTATAACAAGCTAGGCTGGCGTGTGTGTGCACATGCGAGCTCTGGAGATCCTCGGCTATATATAAATACACACGTGCACACTCTGTCTGGGGGTTTCTTGTGTTCCTGGACTTTTCTGTCTGTCTTTGGGCTGCTGGTGAACAGGCTCAGTGGTCATGCCCTTAGAGAGGTGTCTGCAGTGTCTCTGCAGAGGTGGGAAGGGGTGGCAGCCCCAGTCCAGCTGTGGTTTTGAGGGGCTGCAGGGTGCTGTAGAGCAAGGGAACCCCCTCCCACAACAGCAGAGAAGGAAACAGCTGGCAGCTGGCCAGAAGGCAGTCAGCTGAGCCTCCCCTGGTTTTCCCTGTGCTGTCTTTTATCCCTGACTCCCCTCCTGCTTTTCTCTTTCTCATTTTCTTTCCAGTCTGCTCTCCTTCCCTCATTCTCCTTCCCACTCCATTCATCACACCATGAGCCCCAGCCAGCAGCTATACTGAGCCAAGGGAAATCATCACATCCATGTGTTTCCCTAATAGCTCTGGACCCTTTTAATAACAAGAGGGAATAGAGAATAAATGGAGCCTTTCCCTCAGGGCCTTGCGTGTTTCCCTGTCCTGGCGTTCGTACCAGTAGGACAGTCTCATGGGACAGAGGGGCCTGCTTGTGAGTGGGCTGATACCTTACAGCTTAGCATGGCCAGAGAGGTGGCCTGGGGAAGAAGAGAAGCCTCTGCTTGCCCTGTGATTAGGGAAGCTGCTTGCCATTTCCTCATGCCTGATTTTTCCCCTGGAGGATGGTCATTCCTCCATGCCTCAGCCCAAGAGTGGTGTCTGGCTGGCTGGGCCACGTGGAGGTGAGCGCAGAGTCACCACCACATTCACCACCCTTGACCCAAGGCTAATGCTCCTCTTTGCCCATGTCTAGAGGCCAGCACCCCTTGGAGTGGTCGTGGCCCGGGGGCAAGGTAGACCCCGCTGGGAAGGAGGAGACCGAGTTGGTGGCCTCAGCAGCCCCCAGCAGTGGCCGGGCGATCCGAGAAGAGGACTGTGAGGGGACTGGCACGAAGCCGTACTGCAAAGTCCTGGTGCTGACGGAGACACAGGCGAACGACACGGGTTACTACCGCTGCTACTACAAGTACATTGATGCCAAAATCGAGGGCACCACAGCGGTGGGCACCTACGTGTTTGTAAGAGGTAAGAGCCGTCGGGATGTGCACCTGCAGGCTGGGGGGCTGGGGGCAGCCAGTGCACCATAATATCCGAAAGATTAAAAACCTCAACGTGCCTCCCAGGCTGCTGCAGGCCTGGGGAGGGGGCCAAGGGCTGGTTCCCTGTACTTCCAGGGAACCAATATCCGTCCACGGCGGCGGCAGCGCCTGGGATTCAATTTCGTCCCATCCTGGGGGCATCGCTCCAGCCAGGCTGGAATGCAGGAATTTAAACAGTGAGAGCCTGGTCTCAGAGATGTTTCACCACTAAAAAAAGCACAGGAGTTATCTTCTGGGCAGCTGGGGGCACCTCAAGATGCTGGTGGCTATGGATGATAGCATTCCATGAAGCTGAGACTGAGGGAGGGAGAGGATGAGTGGTACAAACACACCATGCATCCTCCTGTTCCCGGGCCTGATGGCTCGAGCCACTCCACAGTGGCAGATCCACTCCTCTCCACACTGGCTCCTCTCCAAACTGTGCAGGGGCTGCCTGCACAGGCAGGATTATGAGATGTATTTTGGAGGAGGAGGGATGTTCACCAGGCTTTGGATTGGAACCCCAGCTCAGCAAGTGTCTGCAGGGCCAATACTCATCCTCTCCATGCCCCAGGGGTTCCCCCTCTGCTGTCTCCCCCCCTGCTCAAAGCAAGATAAATGAGCCCTGTCCCCTGGAAACAGTTGGCTGAGCTATTTCTCTTTCCGCCCCCATTTATTAGTTGGTGCAGTTGTCATGAGCCAGGCAGGTCATGACATATAAGATGCATTTTTCAGAAGTCCCAGGGCAAAGCCAAATTTGCCTCTGCAACTATGCAGAGAAAAATGCAGGGGCAAATCAGAAAAGCTGGACAGCTGCTGGAGAGGAATTGAGGTCTGTTTGGGCAATTGCCTCCTCTCCCCGTGGGCTCTGCTGCCCACCCTAAAACAGGACAGAGCCTCCCTGGATCGCAGGCATCTGTGAGTTGGACAGGAGTATTCAGACCCTCTAGAGTGTTTTAACAGGATAGAGGCAGAAAGCTTCTTACACACACTGAAAATGTGTACAGCCTAACGTACTTTCGTGCTTTTGAGTGCTTTTGCAAGAACCTGATTTTCTTTGTGATCCAGCAAACACCACTTTGCCCCTTGATCCACCTTCTCTCACCTCCAGTCTCTCTGCAGCTCAGTAGTGTCTCTCCTACTTACCAGAGAGCAGCAAGTGTGCACATGGTGCAGCTTAGGGGCAATAAATCCCAGGTTGTCAGGGCCCGTGGGACCCACAGTGCCTGCGGACAGCACGTGTGCAACAGATCCTGCCAACACCTCGCAGCATTGCTGTGCACAGGGCTACACAGCACATGTTCATGCTGCTTCCAATCAGGCTGTCCCCTGTTATGGTTATCAGGCATGTAGGAAACCTCAGAATCTGCCTTTCCAGACAGGACAGGCTTTCAGGCAGGAGAAGGGACATGTCAGGAAAACCCAGGCATACAGTAACCACAGCCATTGCAGAACATCCAGATAAAGCCCTGCCTGTTCCTGCTGAACTGGGCTGCAATGTGAAACTGTCCCTGGAGAGCTTGGAAGGGCTGATGTAAGTGTCAGGGATGTTTGGAGACAGCATGATCAGACCACAGCTTTATCCATCAACCTCATTTCTCATGTTAAGAGCTTGGTGGAATTGCCGGGAACAAAATATCTGTGCTTGGCTGGAAAAATGGGTTCTTTTGTATTTTACCTGCAGCTCAGTTCTTAAATGAACTCTCCACACATATCTTTCCTTCCCATGTGTCTGGTTAGGTGTGTATGTTATTACAACTACAGATAGCACTGTAGACATATAGAATGCCTCATCAGGGTAGGATAGGATATGTACAGCCCACATCTCATAAAGCTTAGCATATATTAATGAAGAAGATGTTAAATTATTCCCATTCGACCCATTAAGACAGTCTTAAGGAAATTTGTGATGTAGTCAGAGAGGGGAGTTAGTGCATGAATCACAAGCTCATTGGCAGCAGGACCAGCCCAGTAAATCAGTTAGTTCTTGGCTGCCATCTGAGCTTGAAGGGGACCTCATAGTCTCTCACCTCTGGCATTTGTGCACCTCCTCCCTCTCACATGCCCAGGGCTCAGGAGAGGAATGAGGAACATGTTCACACGGGGAAACAAATCTGTGATTTCAGCAATCCTGTGGCAGCACAAGACCGCAGGAAACACAGATAAGAACTCTCTGGGCAATCCATGTTTTCGTAAGAGCTGACCAATACAGTTTTCTGAGTGTGGTTTCTTTCACCTAAGCTGTAGAAAAAAGAGATTCATGCAGATTCATACAGGTCTTTGTAGCATGACTAGCACTGAAGCAACAGCTTTATAGGTCAAAAATTAAAGTATTCCCTTCTGCAATTAACAGTGGGAGCACTGGGTTGGATTGGGACTCCATTCCCTGTGGGAAACGGTAGGCAGGGGCTGATTCTACAGAATAAATCGTCCATCATGGAAGCTGTGCCAGAGGACACCAAGCAGCCTCACAATTCTTTGTCTCTCCCAATTCTGTCTTCATTCCCTTTAGTCACTCGACATGCTCATTCCATGTCGAGTGTAGTGTAACATCCCTGGCCTTGCTAAGTCATTTCAGTGATTATTTTTGGGTGGTTTTGCTCTTCCTGTCAATATTTGTGCCTGCAGCAGTTGGGCGGCAGTGGGGTGGCAGCCCTGGAAAGCTCAGCTCATCTGTTTATCTGGCTGCAGGATGACATCTGCATACCATTCTGCTGGGGATCACTTCCTCGCCCTGGAAGGTCGCTCTGCACCAGGGCGGCACAGCCCCACACCGCCCCTGCCGCGGGGCCACGCTCACCAGCTGGGCAGGCGCCGAGCCCAGGACACAGCACACTGGCTTCACAAAGGGCCAGACCCAGGCAGAGACCTTGAGGGGGCCAGGAAAGGGGAGGTCATTTCCAGCACTGCCCAAACGTCACACAAATGCCACTGCACCGGTGCTGTGTTTGGTGCGGAGGAGCCGGCCGACTCCCTTTGCATTCCCAAGCTCCAGGTGTCTCCTCTGACTGTCACACGTGGCAGATGGGGCCATCCAGCTCCACACCACTCCCCCTGGCAAGCTCATGCTGTGCTAAACAAAGTCAGAAAGCCTCCTTTTCTGCTGGTTGATTTCTTTTCCCAGTTTTTTCTTGCCTCTGTTTAGTTGTTGTTCTTGTATCTCTCCTTCAGATTTTGAACAGCCATTTATCAACAAGCCAGAGACCCTCCTCATCAGCAAGAAGGAGAACACTTGGGTACCATGCCTTGTGTCCATCCCAGATCTTAACGTCACACTGACCTCGGTGAGAGCTCGGCCAGGGGGAGACTCTGGACTGAGATGTATTGCATTTGTTCTGCATTTGTAATTGCCTGAGTGGAAGCAGGACAGGCACTGCCAGGAAAGGAAAATGCATGGGATAAATTTTCCATGGAAAATACAAGCCATTGGCTTCCTTGTTTTATTTGCTGGTTGAAGCTGTGTTGTCCAGTTCCCTTGGGCAGACCCCACGGGTTTCCTGCCAACCTTGCTTCTCTTCCCTGGAGCTCTATGAAACAAAACAAGACTTTGTTTTAAACCCATTTCCCCACAGCATCCCCCGTTTGCCTGGTCTCTGTGATCTACAACCCCTTTAGGTGGTCGGCATCCCCACAGAGGAGGAGGCTGCAGCCCTGGGGCTCAAGACTAAAAACAGCTCTGTTATCAGTTTGCTTTTGCCTCTTTTTCCCTTTTTTTTTTTTTTTTACAATGCAAATACATCCTTCCAGGATGAGTGTTACTATTGTACAAAGGCCTCCAGGGACACTCTGGGGGCCAGGGGCCTTTCCCTTGCCCGGGAAGGACACTACCCAAGGTCAGCACTCATCCCAGTGGGGCTGATGTTTGGGATACCAGCATCAGTTTCCTTAGCTATCTCTAGAAGTTTCCATTCCTGGAAGTCTCTGGCCTGCTCTGCAGATGGAGAGGCTCATGGTGCAGGATGCGGCTGCTCAGGGTAGAGGGGAGGCAATTCCTAGATGACAAACCCTCGGGAGGAGAGGGCAGGAGGCCAGCACAGATGCTGCATCATTTCTTCCCACAAAAGGGAAGTAAAGTAAAGTCTGGAAGGGGTGGGGTGGAAATGTTGTTACCCTCTTATTTCAGTTGGCAAAATGTTGATTTTTCCAGCAAAATTTCTATATCCACCCTGACGGGAAAAGCATTTTCTGGGACAACAAGAAGGGAGTGCAGGTACCGACACACATGATCAGGGACTTCTTGTTTGTCCAGTGTGAGACTGTCATCGACAAGAAGGTCTTCAAATCCAATTTCTTCATCATCCATATAGCAGGTGAATATTTGGGAAGGTGCAGGGGAGCAGTTTGGGTGACTCTGCTATGGTCCTCTCTGGCTACACAGACTCTGAATGGTGCTTATATCTCCTCTACTGTGTGTCAGAAACACACACCAAGCAGCAGGAGGTCATACCCAAACCTCCTGTAACTGCACAGTCTGAGTCAAGGAGTTAATAGATCAGAAATGGTTTTTTGTTGCCTATTCTGCCTCAGGGAGCGAGCTGTACGACATCCAGCTGTATCCCAAGAAAGCCATGGAGCTGCTAGTGGGAGAGAAGCTGGTCTTGAACTGCACAGTGTGGGCTGAGTTCAACTCTGGCGTCCGCTTCCAGTGGGCTTACCCTGGAAAACAGGTACCAGCAAACAGAGCAGCTCCCTGTGTTCTGAACCATTTCTGTCTGAATCATCCCCTCCTGCTCATTCGTTGTTCCCTCTTCACATCATTCACAGGGCTCTGCTTCATGGTCCTACCTATGCTGTGCCCTGGACATCTTGGTCAGAGTGTTTTCCCATTTTTCTCTCTTGCAGTAGAAGGCAGACAGAGGGAAGACCCCTTTTCCTGGCAGAAAGCTGCCTCCTTGCCGAGGTGTTATTGCTCTGGGGCTCTCCTGGGAAAACACTGGATTCAATTCCACCAGTGCAAATCCAGAGCAAAAATAATTGGCTTAAAAAGAACTACTCTAGTAACACAGCCCTCGTTACCAAGAGCCTGCAAGGTGGTCCCTTCCCCACTTTGTTTTCCCCTTGTAGCCTCTGGCTCTTGGGAATGGTGAGACAGGGGAGACCCTGATGGCATCACTTAGTTCATGTAGCTATAGGGCTCCCAGCCTGGTTCCTGGGCTGCAGATAAGAGCAAAATATGTGCTAAGCTCTGACCTCAGCCTCAGGCAGTCAGTACACAGGACATGTTGCCTTTCCATCCCTGAGGCTGGCAGTCAGTTGCAGAGAAACCTGTCCAGGTAGAGGCAAGCACTGGGCAGCAGGAATCAGAGCTATGAGGAGCCCATGCACACAGCTCCATCCCACCGATGTCTTTCATCCCCTTCCCCTCTGTTATCTCCCGCAGACACAGCGAGCAGTGGTGGAGTCCGAGCGCCACTCCCTGCAGACACACACGGAGCTCTCCAGCATCCTGACCCTCCACAATGTCAGCCAGCAGGACCTGGGCGAGTACAAATGCACTGCCACCACCGGCGCCCAGATGCTGGAGGAGAGCACCGACGTCATCGTGCACGGTACAGCACCTTCCTCTGCCTCACAGAGCCAAAGCCAGAGCTGAGCTGCAGCAGAGCCCATCCCCAAGCTGCCTGGGCAGTGCTTGTCCCAAGGCTCAGCAGAGCAGCTCCTGCACCTCCATCCACTCTGCTGTAGTGAGACCCAGCCTTCCTCCAGTCCCTTAGCCCTTCTGTGTCCCAGCACCACACTGGGAGCACGGTCACATTCAGCAAGGTGCCGAGATGAGAAGGGAGAGAGGTGCCAATGCCAAATTGGCCCAAATGCAGCAGGATGGCAGGACACATGAGTCTCATGGCCCTGCAGCAGATGCAGTGCCCCTGTGGCATGGCTGACCTGGGAGGCACCAGCTGCGGGAGCACAAGGCATCACTGGCACTGGGTGGCTGTGTCCCAGCAGCAGGACCAGTCTCCCTGTGTCCCCAGTGGTTCCCAAGAGGGAGGCAGAGGCAGCTCTTCAGGTGCCAGGATCTCAGCTGCCCTGCCACGACACCGTCTTGTCCTTGGTCATTGCTGCTAGGCCCTGTGGAGAGCAGCAGAGCTCAGTGACAGCCTGTCCCTTTGTGCTCTCCTCCATGCTCACTTTTTTTCTTGCAGAAAAGCCCTTCATCAACGTGGAGTGGAGGAAGGGCCCGGTGATAGAAGCCACTGCAGGAGATGAAGCCGTGAAGCTGCCAGTGAAAGTTGTGGCTTACCCCCCACCAGATTTCCAGTGGTAACTCACCTTTCTTAGCCTGAGCTGCTTTGTCCTCTCCTTCTTCCCTCTGCCAAATGGGAAAGCCTAGCCTGGCCCCCTTGCTATGTCCCTCTGTGGTCACATTTTTCCACCCATGGGAGTAATTTCTCCCAAATGCCCTGACTCTCAACTGCACAGCCTTGGCTTGGCAGCTCTGCACTGTCTGGAGTAGCCAAGCAGAGCACCCACAGGAGCTATCCCTCTTGTCCCTCTGCTGCCCAGAGGTGCAAGGTAGTGAGGTGGGCTGTGTGCAACATCGTGCTGCACTTCCACCAGAGCTGGCCGGAGCTGGGAGCTTTGCACTCACTCACTGCTCAGGGCAGAGCCACAGCATCCCCAGCCCCACACGCATCCATATGAGTCGATGCACAGATCTGTAACTCAGGTCCAGGGAAGGCCCAGTGTCCTCCCCAGAGAGGTCCTCAGTGCTAGCAAGGGGCACCTCGACTGTGCTCTAGTGGGGACCAGCAAAACCCTGCCCAGCTGCCAGTGGGACACTTCCTCCCCATGGCTGCATTTTCTCTCTGCCTCCCCGCAGGTACAAGGATGGAAAGCTAATTCCCAAGCAATCTCAATCTTCAATGCAGATCAAGGATGTGTCGGAGCAGCACGCCGGGACATACACGCTGGTTCTGCGGAACAGGCTGGCGGGGCTGGAGAAGCACATCAGCCTCCAGTTAATCGTCAATGGTAAGGGAGGGCCAGGGCTGGGCTGGGGGGGGCAAAGCTGAGCCCACGGCCCCAGCCTTTGGGCTGCTCCAAGACCAAGTCCCCATTGCTGTCCTAAAGCAGTTGGTACATCATCTCTTCCTCTCCCATTGCTGAGGGACTCTCTGGTTACAGTGAGGCTGGTTCCTTCTGGCTTCATTCTTGGCTCCATCACTTTGGGCAGTGTATGTCCTTGCTCAGGGGCCACTTCCCAGTTGCAGTTGGAGATGCTGCTGAGGGTGACCCTGACTGATGCGGACTTGAGGGCAGGGCAGCTGCCACACACGTGAAGTCTTGATCTGGAGTAGTTTCTCTGGGTGGGAAGCTCCTAGGGAATTTTCCCGCAGCAGAAACTGGTCCCTGTCATACAGGATCCAGATGGAAGGGCACTGCTGCTTGGATATGTGCCTCCAGCAGGCTCTGTGGCCCTGGACTGGGGGCTGCCAGGCAGTGCTTTGAGCCCTGCACCATCCAGACAGAGGAAGGAGAAATGATGTCACTTGAATCTGCCTAAGAATAACCTGCTGTGCCTTGCAGGCCTGAGCTGTCCTGAGAGCTGGAGAGCTGTAGTGCCCACACTTTCCACAGACAGGTCTGGGAAGGGCTGTGCCTGGCATGGGGAGGGAGTGGCTGAGCCTGCAGCCGCTCACAATGTCGCTCTGATCCTTGCAGTCCCTCCACGCATCCATGAGAAGGAAACCTCTTCCCCAAGCATCTACTCCAAGAAGAGCCCCCAGGCCCTCACCTGCACTGTCTATGGCATCCCAGCGCCAGAGGTGATCCAGTGGCAGTGGAGGCCGTGGATGCCATGTCGGATGTTCTCCCGACGCAGCCTGTAAGTGCCATTTCTTCCAACACCTGTGTCTTCCCAAGCCACCAGTTTGGCATTATGGGCTTTTTGTGACTGTGGCTGTGCCCCAGACCCCATCTCACTTCTGCTCTCCCACCCACAACATGGCACAAGGAGGACAGCACTGACTGATAGCTCAGAGCACTGTACACCCCCTCACCTCATGGGGAGGCAGAATGGAGACACCTGTTCTCGGTGTAGGAGTTTTGCCCAGGCTGGGTAGTCCCAGACACCAACAACTTCCACAGTGTCCCCTGCATCCTCAGTCATCTACATCTGTCAGTGGATGTCCATGGCACAGCCACACCTCACAGCGTCTGCAATAAAACCACTGATCATTGTGCTAATGGGGAAACTGAGGCAGCTTGGAGGAGAAACTGTTCCAGCCCCTTGGTGAGACCCCAAGACAGCAACTGGGGCTCATCCCATTCCTGCCCTGAGGTCCCCATGGTTTTTCTGTCCTATGTCTTCTCCTGGGTAATGATGGAAGCAAAAGTGCTCATAGGCAGCTGCTGCTTGTGGGGAAGAATTACTGAATCCTGGGAAAGTACCAGATCTCTGGATGGTTTTCCAGGAGGGTGTTTGTGCCAGCAGCACCAATAGGTAGGCATGAAGGGTGCCTGCTCACTGCCTGTGCCCTGTGAAGCTGGGACAGCACCAGGCAGGGCTGCAGTGGCATTTTTTAGCGACAGCCTCACAGGAAGAAGAAAAAGGGATGCTGGGGAGTTGTAGCCAGAGCAGTCAGGGTGGAGGACATCAGGGTGCCTGGAGGAAGCCAGGTCCTGCAGCCCTGTGCAGGCTTTTGCCAAGCCAGGGATGCCGGAGAGCTTTCTATTGCATGCAAGTGCACTGTGGCCCTGTCAGGAAGCAGAGGGACCTGTGAATTATGAGCACTGTCTCCCAAGGCCGCCGTATTTCTGCCTAGCATAGCTCCAGAGGATGCAGGAGGCTTCTTTCTAGCTTCCTGTTGTTTACACAGCTCACCGGTGTGTTTGCCCCACCAAGCTCTGCCTTGCACACACCCTTGCCACTGCTCCTGGGCAGCTCCACTCAGCTCCACCTTGCTCCCCTGCTACCCTAAGCCTCTCCCTCCACTCCTCCCACTCTGGATTTTGGGCAGACCTTCCCATCTTCCTCCTCAACCTGCATTCCAGAAGCACCCTGCAGGCTGCAGCATCCCTGGTCCCCGACAGATTTGAGCACTTGTCCCCAGTCGCCTGTCTCAGGCTGAAGAGGTACCACCATCCCCCATCAGCACCTTTACTTGGGATATGTCCCTCCTGCTTTTTGTTGAATCAGGGGCAGCAGGAGCACCCCTGGGTGCTGTGCCCTTAGATGTTGTATCATCTGCTCTCCAGGCCAGCACCAGCCAGTCGGTGACAACCCTGACTCTCAGTCCCAGTAGGGCTTTAAGGCCTTGGTGCTGAGCAAAGTGACATCAAGAGCAGCCCTAGGCACATGTGAACTGATTTCAACCCTGCCTTTCTCCACTCAGGAAGGAAAGATGAAGTCCCAGGGCTGAGGGTGAAGACACTGCCTAGGACACCTGTATCTGTTCTCTACCTCAGTTTTCACATGTACAGATTTTTGCCTCACTGGTGGTTGCAGAGCACCCTTATAAAGCACATCAGAACTGTGTAACCGAAAGACCCGAGAAATTTTGCGGAGTTGGAGGACAGGGACATCAATCCTCAGACACAAAGCTACTTTTGCTGCCTTTTACCCAGCTGACCACCTCTCCATCTCTCTCCTCTTTCTCCTGCTCCTCCCTGGCTGCTGGATTAGCAGCAGCAGGCACCGGGCAGCAAGACGCCATCAGCGGGACCGGATGCCCGAGTGCAAGGACTGGAAAGACGTGACACAGCAGGATGCAGTGAACCCCATCGAGAGCATTGACACCTGGGTGGAGTTCGTGGAGGGGCGTAACAAGGTGAGGCTGTATC